CTGCAGGTACAGCGGGTCGACGTTAAAGGTTCGGTGCAGTGAGCTGCTGTTGCGAACCCACATTGCAGTACAGTCGAAGTGGACCATCATCCACTTGGAGGGCTGTCAGGGAAAGAGAGAGAGGAAGGATTTAAGGGTACTACTGAACACTACGGCCAGCTCGTGCACCTACATTGAAGGCCAAACTCTGCACCATCTCCACGCCGTCCAGCCAGCTCTGGTACTCTGGACAGATGAAGGCGGTGCCCGCATATGCGGCATCCACGTGAATCCAGATGTTCTCCTCGCGCGCAATCGGCCCCAGCTCTTTCAGGTGGTCGAAGGCACAGGCGCCGGTGGTGCCCAGTGTGGCGCAAAGGAAGAACGGTATGAGCCCCTGCGCCCGGTCCTCCCTGATGACCTCCACCAGGCGGTCGCCGCGCAGAGAGTAGTGCTCATCCGACTCGATGTAGCGCATCTTCACCAGCCCAATCAGACCGGCCTTCTCCACGGAGGAGTGCGCCTGGTCGGAGCAGTACGCCACCAGGCGACTGTTGATGTAGGCGTCCTCCAGCGAGGCGTAGTCCTCCAGTTCGTCCTTCACGCGGCGGATCATCTCGGTGCGCGCGGCGAGCAGGGCGATGAAGGTCGCCTCGGAGGCGGTCGTCTGGATGACGCCGCCGCCGTTGCCGTTGGACTTGCTGTGGAGAAACTCGCCCGGCAGGCCGATCATCTCGCCCAGCCAGTCCATGACGATGATCTCCAGCTCGGTGACGGCAGGCGATGACGCCTGGTTTGAAAAAAGTGTTTAGGTGTACTAATAACTGAAAATCTGAAAAGCACTTTAACTTACCCAGGTGAAACCCAGAGAGTTGATGGCATTGGCGAGCATGTCGCCGAGCAGCGAAGCGGGACAGTTGAGCGCCGGAAAGTAGGCGTGCATAAAGGGCGACTGCCAGTGGGTGATGCCCGGCATGATGACCTTCTCGATGTCGCCGAAGATGGCCGCCCAGCTCTCGCCGTTGACCGGCGCCGACTCGGGCAGGAGGGCCTTCATGTAGCCGGGCTTGACGTTGGGGAAGACGCGCCGCGTTCGAATCGTTTCCAGGTAGTCGGTGATGTAGTCCACCAGCTCTTTTCCTGTTTGGTTTTTGAAGTACCTGATTAGTACTGACAGAAATATCCAAATGTAAGTGCCTTACCATTGACGCGAAATTCCTCCCAGTTCATGATGATGGTGCCACCAGAAGATGAAGAAGATTGCACCTCCGTACAACTGAAAGACCAACAGGCAAATGAGCCCGTCTCTGGCACTAGTGAACTCTTTTATGAACTCCAACAAGAAGGGCTCACTTTTAATTATCGCAAAATGTGCCAGCAAATTGGGGCTAATTGAAGGACTAGCCTGTTTGCTGCTGTTCGCTGATGCAACACAAGACTTGCACTCAAAACAGCAGCTGCAGCAGCACCTTTGCCCTTTTCTCACGTCCCGAGAGGGTCATCAATTGGCAACTTCACTCTGACACAAGGAGAAAGACACTAGGTTCAGGGCACAAATTGCACTTGACACATGCAGACATCAATTACAGCATCACTTCGATGAAGCACTGCTTTGGGAGGAGATTCATTAATTAGTGAGGAGGGTTTTAATAAGCACTGCGCGCTGATGAGCAGAGCTCAATAATTGAATTACATCAAGTAATATACCAAACATTAACAAATAATCGAGTGATGAGTGCTCCCGCTTTGCTCGCATGTTCCCCGCAGATCAGTTACTGTTCAGCAGCAGCATCCGTTGTCTGTTCAGCAACTGCTCCAACTGCCCCAGCTGTACCGTGCTCATCCTCCTCCACCTCAGACGGATAAAGGGCAAACAGCTTGGCGACCTCATTCAGATCCTGGTTCTGTACGCCGTCGTTGAGGACGCGCCGAGCAATGTGCATGTTGTTGTAGAGGTTCCAGAGGACGATGCCCACGACGGTGTTGTTGCGCTGGTAGAAGATGACGCCCTTCTTGTACTTGTCGTCCTCCTGGGGCTCTCGAAAGCCCTCACTCGCCTCGGCGCCGTTCTTCGCAAAGACGCCAAAGGTAGGCAGGGAAGAGTCGATGACGCCGATGGCCTCAAAGCCCACCTCGGTGCCCAGGTCGGACCAGAACATGGACTGGTGCCAGTACGGCTTACCGGCGCCGGTCATGTTCTCGCCAGCCAGTCGCCCGCTGACCACAGCATGGTCGTGGTGCTCCACCCGTCTGCGGCCTAGCTTTTGGTCGTAGAAGCAGGCGGCATCGCCGGCCACCCAGAGATTGCTTCGCACTTCCAACTCGGCATTCACTCGGTACCCGCCGAGGGTATCATCCACCTCAAGACTTGAGGTCTCTGCCAGCTCGACGTTGGGGTTTAGGCCGACTGCCACGATGGCATAATCAGTCTTCAGCGTCTCTCCATTGGTCAGCGACAGTGCCAGTTGATTGTTATTGAGTTGGACGTCCTTTACAGTGGCGGATGGTATCAAATTAACGCCTATATAGTCAACAAATGTAATTAGAAAAATGAAAACAATGGCAGCGTATCAAAATACCTTCTTCCATCACTTTTTTAGAGCACCAATTGCTCAAGTACTGAGGCAGTATCCTCTCCAGGACGCCCTGTTCAGGCATCAGTTGGTTCAATTGCACTTTAGCTTTGGCCCGTCTTGACTTGTCGGCAAGTGCACAGGCCAGCTCACTGCCCAAAAGGCCGCCACCGATAATGGTAATTGATTTCGATTTGGAGAAGAGCTCATTGAGGCGCTTGAAGTCGTCTACGTTTCGGTAGAGAATGACCCGGTTCTCTATTTCAGGAGCAACATTCTCAAAAACTTGAAGGTTCTTCGGTTCACCGCCTGTGGCAATTAAACACTTTCCGTAGGAAATGATTTGTCCGTTTTCGAGGAATGCTTTGCGATCAGTGGCATCAATTTTCACCACGCGTTGACATTTCACTACGGTGATGCCGCCATTGGGTGCCGACTCAAACTGTTCAAGCGGAAGGTAGAACTCTTCGTGCTCAAAGAAGATGCTCTTTTCGCGTCCGTTCCATTGCTTGAAGGTAAACTCTTTCTTCACCTCAGAGCCGCTGTACCAGAGCTCCTTTGACAGTGGTGGTCTCATGTACGGGTAATGATTTTCCGCTGAGATCAGCAACACTCGAGCCTTTGGATCGTTTGAGCGAATGGCCCGAGAGGCGGCGAAAGCGGCAGTGCCACCTCCGACAATTAAAAAGGGCACCGATTCAGGAAGGCCTTTCACGAGTACAGGCTCTACTGTTGAAGCCGACTTTGAAGCATCTCCTTTCTGGTGGTGGTGGCCGTCGTCGTCATGATGTCCTCCAGACTTGGATCCCCCCAGATAGCCATAGTGGTGGGCGATGTAGGTCGATCCGCCGGCGATAGCGCCACCGGCGAGTAGTTGCCAGGTGAGATCCAAGCCCTTGCCGGTGTTCTGTGCCGTGGAAAGTGCTCTCCGCTTGGCAGTGCCCACTGACAGCTGCAGACAGAGCAGGGACGACCGCGAGTGGATCAGGCGAACTAGGGACTGGCGCAACATGACTGTCCTGAGGTGGAGGAACAAAGATGCCGATGGACCAGATGAACTTGGGTACGAGGAAGAAGAAGACGCCGATGCAAAGATGAGTGCAGATGTGTCTTCAGTCAGGCTGGCTATCGATGCCGTGCCGACAGAAAATGAAAACACACAAAATGCTGCTAAAACAGCGACAAGGGCGACCTCTG